TTTTGAGGTCCATGGTACTTTTAATAATCTCCTCCAACACCATAACTCAAACGCACCAATTCTTCTATAGTCTGTTTCATTCAATGTCCAACTTTCATTCACATGCATATGAGGTTATTGAAAATACCATGGCTTGGGTCAGGCACACCTTAGTCCTCAAACTGATATCTTTGCTCTTCACACTTTAAAGAAGTCTTGTGTGGCAAATTTGCTTAATGCAATACATTGTTTGATCTCTTGACTGCTGCTTCCATGAGTGCTGATGGTTGATCTGGGCAAAACAAAGTCTTTGACAACTTCACTATTATCTCCATTTATATAAATGTTGTTTACTGGTATACTTGTGAGGATTTTTGTTTTCTTTACATTGAGATGCAACCCATAGTTGTAATCTTTGATGGTCATCAGTAAGTATTTTAAGTCCTCTTTGTTTTCAGCAAACAAGGTTGTATTATCTGCATATCACAGGTTGTTAATGAGTCTTCCTCCAATCCTGATGTCACGTTCTTCTTCATATAACCCAGCTTCTGGGATTATGTGTTCAACATACAGTCTGAATAAGTATGGTGAAAGAATACAACTCTGGCACACACCTTTTCTAATTTTAAACCATTCATCGTTCCCTTGTTCTGTTTGAACAATTGCCTCTTGATCTAAATACAGGTTCTTCGTGAACACAGTTAAGTGTTCTGGAATACTGGTTCTCTGCACAATTGTCCAGTTTGTAATGATCCACACAATCGAAAGCCTTTGTATAGTCAATAAGCATGGGTAAACATCTTTCTGGTATTCTCTGCTTTCAGCCAAGATCCATCTGACTTCAGCAATCATATCCCTCATTCCATGTCCTCATTTGAATTTGGCTTGAACCTCTGGCAGTTCTCTATCAATGTACAGTTGCAGTTGTTTTTGAATCATCTTTAGCAACACTTTACCTGCATGTGATATTAATGATATTGTCCAATGATTTCCACATTCTGTTGGGTCACCTCTGTTTGGAATGGCACAAATATGGATCTCTTCCAGTCAATTGCCAAGGTAGCTATCTTCCAAATTTCTTGGCATAGATGAGTGACTGCCTCCAGTGCTGCATCAGTTTGTTGAAATATTTCAACTTGTATTACATCGATTCCCAGAACTTTGTTCTTTGTCAATACCTTCAATGCACCTTGGACTTCTTCCTTCAGTATCATTGGCTCTTGATCATATGCTACCTCTTGAAATGATTGAACATCGACTATTTCTTTTTGATACAGTGATTCTGTATAATCCTTCTATCTTCTTTTGATACTTTCTGCATCATTCAATATCTTCCCCATAGAATCCTTTAATATCGTAAATCAAGGCCTGAATTTTTTTCTTCAGTTCTTTCACCTCGAGAAATGCTAAGCATGTACTTCCCTTTTGGTTTTCTAACTCCAGGTCTTTGCACATTTTGTTATAATATTTGACTTTGTCTTCTCAAGCTGATCTTTGAAATTCTCTACTCAGCTCCTTTACCTCCTCATTTCTTATTTGTTTTAGCATCTCTATGCTAGAAAGCAAGTTTCAGAGTCTCTTCTGACATTTATTTTGGTCTTTTCCTTCTTTCTTGTCTTCTTAAAGACCTTTTGCTTTCTGCCAGTACGATGTTCTTGATGTCATACCATAACTATTCTGGTCTTCTGTCATTAGTATCTAATGCATCAAATTTGTTTTTGAGATTATGTCTAAAATCAGGTAGAATATGTGCAAGGTCACATGTTTACTCTTGTCGACTTGTTTTAATTTTATTCAGCTTCAGCCTATGAGCTGAAGCATACTAGCATATGAGCAATTGATGGTCTGTTCCACACTCTGCCCTTGGCCTTGTTTTGACTGATGATAATGGAGCTTTTCCATTGTCTCTTTTCATAGATGTAGTCAATTTGATTTCTGTGTATTCCATCTGGTGAGGTCCATGTGTATAGTAGTCTTTTATGTCTTGTTTTTTGTTTTGTTTTTTTTTAAGGTGTTTGCAATGAGGAAGTCGCTGATCTTGCAAAATTCTCTCATGCGATCTCCAGCATCACTGCTATCACCAGGTCCATATTTTCGAGCCACTGATCCTTCCTCTTTGTTTCCAACCTTTGTATTCCAATCGCCAGTAATTGTCAATACATCTTGATTGCATGAGACAGCCCATCAACAGAAGAAAGATTAAACAAACTTTGATTATACACAATGTAATTAATATTAAGCAACATTGAAGAATAATAATGAATCTGCAAAGGACCTCACAATATAGATGAACCTGAAGGACATTTTGTTGAGTGAAATTTGTTGTTTGTTGTTGCTAAGTGCCATCGCGCTAGTTCTGGTTCATAGGATTTCCAAGGAGCAGCTGGTAGGTTTGAACTGCCAATCTTGTAGTTCACAGTCCAGTGCTGATCCTACAGAAACACATCAGGAGTGAAATTTTTGTTGTTGTTGTTGTTGTTAAGTGCCATCAAGTCAGTTCTGACTCAAAGAGACCCTATACAGGGTGAGTTTATTATTGAATCACAAAAGGACAAATATTGCATAAGACCACTGTTATGTGGTGGAGTCCTGGTGTGGCGCTGTGGGTTAATGCACCAGACTGCAAAGCCATTTGAACTGCAAGGTCGGCGGTTCAAACTCACCAGCTGCTCCTCGGAAACCCTATACAGGGTCGCTATGGTTCAGAACCTACTCGAAGGCACTTCACAACAACAACTGTTATGTGGTGCTATATAGGATAAGCACTTGAACTCATGGACTTCTGGTGTGGCACTGTGGATCAGCACTGGACTGCAAACCACAAGGTCAGCAGTTCAAACCCACCCGTTGCTCCTTGGAAACCCTCTATACAGGGTCACTAACAGTCGGAACTGACTTAATAGCACTAACAACAACAAGAAGAACTGTTGTGTGGTGTTATAGGATAAGTACTTGACCTCAAGAGAGGTTTGGACCGCAAGGTTAGTTTGAACCTCAAGATCGGCAGCTCAAATTCACCAGCCACTCCTCGGAAATCCTATACAGGATAGGTATGAGTAGGAACCAAGTTGACAGCACTTAACAACTGTTGTAAAAAGTTATGAAAAGATTTTCTTACTAAATGAAACATTCTATGACCCAAGCCATGGTATTTTCAATAACCTCATATGCATGCAAAAGCTGGACAGTGAATAAGGAAGACCGTAGAAGAACTGATGCGTTTGAGTTATGGTGTTGGAGGAGAATATTGAAAGTGACATGGGCTGCCAAAAGAACAAACAGATCTGTGTTGGAAGACGTGCAGCCAGAGTGTTCCTTGGAGGCCAGGATGGCCAAACTTCATCTCTCATACTTTGGAAATATCATGTTTGGTAAGGTGGAGGGTCAGAGAAAAAGAGGAAGACCCCAATGAGATGGATTGGCAAAGTGACAGCATCTATGGGCTCAAGCGTGGCAACAATTGTGAGGTTGGCCCAGGACCAGGTAGTGTTTCGTTCTATTACGTATAGGGTTGCCATGAGTCGGTACCAACTCGATGGCATCTAACAACAAGAAATGATGGCTAAAGGCCGGCTTGGGAGAAATGGAAAAAATAATAAAGTGAATAGAACTAAATACTGTTTTTTTAAAAATTAAATAGATAGAGGAAAATATTGTTAACTGATGGTACATGAAGGGGATTACAATCATTGTAACAAAATGAAGTATATGATTTGTTGACTGTAAAACTGATGCAAACCTTCAATCAATTCACAATAAATATATATATTATGAAAATAGGTACTTATACATTTCTCTTAATTTATAGCCACTTAATCCACCGCCCCTCCCAACCAACGTCTCGCCCTGGGAGAAGACTCCAACCTTTGGCACCCTGTCCCCGCCCACTTACTCAAGTCTCCAGCACCGCCCCCATTACCATGGTAATCGCCTGGCAACGGATCTCTCCCAGGGCCACCCTTCCCAGGCTCCTTTACTTCCCGACCTGGTCAGCTACCCACCGCCCTGGGGAGGTTCTCGTTGCTATGGTGATCTTTCGTGCCACTCCTACGAGGGAGTCTCTCACATTCTTGTGAAAACCACGCCCCCTAGACTAGGCTCCACCTTCTTCTCCTTACCAGCCTAGTCCACTAGACTGCCTACCCGGCACCGCCTCGTTACCGTGGTGATCGCCTGTTCAGGACGCATGCGTGAGTGTCTTCTCGGTTAGGCCCCGCCCCAAGCCTCCCAACCCTTGCTTCGTCTGCCGTCAATCCTGCCTCGTTGCCATGGTGATTGGTGCCGCGGGTTGAACCCAGAACTAGAGCGCCGCAGCTACCTCGTCTTCTGGTGAGTCCGCCTGACCTCTACTGAACCCCAGCCCGTGCGGCTCAGAACCTGGATGCTACCCGTGGTCTCCTGCTCTGGCGGGCCTAGTCCCGGATTAGAGCAGCCCGGGAGGACCGCACTCCAAGCCTGGGTCAAGACCACCCTGGAGGGGCGGGGGAGCAGCTGATGGAGTCTTACATGGGTGCTGGGCAAAGGGTGATGAGTCGGGCTGCTAACTTCAAGGTCAACAGTTGGAAAGTACCAACTGTTCCGCGGGAAAAAGAGATTTTTCTTTTCCCATAAAGATTTACAGCCTCAGAAACCGTGTGCAGGGTCACTAGAGTAGGAACAGACTCCTCAGCACACTACTACCACCACCACCATGGGTGCTGGACGGCTGTGCAGACACTGGGATTAGAGGAAGCCCCCTGGCAAGCCAGGACCTCAAATCCCCAGAGTTTTGGGCAGGGTGCCTCACCCAACCTCCACAAAGTGGGCAGAATCTTATCTGGTGAATGCTGGCCCCTGACTCCAGACTGGACTGCAGATGAGAGGTGTCCTGTCTTCCTGTGTCAGGTGGCCTTCCCTGGAGCGGCTGGTAGACAAAGTGTCGTGAATCTGGTTGGAAAGTGGTGAAAGTCAGGCACAAGCCATGGCGGTGGGTTCCCAAGCATTTGTCTAACTTTTTCCCCTGGTCCACAGGACTCGCAAGGATGAAGTCCACCCTGAGGCCTTTGAGGCCACCTGTGAGCCGGGACCGCATCATTGCCAGCTTCCCTAAGGTAGAAAGTTGTAGCTGGTTAAGGTCTAGTTGGCTCCCTATGTGTGGGAACCCCATGCACAGTGGAACTAAATGATGACCGGGCATGCGCCATCCCCATGATCATTGGTAGATGGGACCATTGTGATCTGTAGGGTTTTCCCTGGCCTATTTCCAGTAGATCCCCAGACCTTTCTTCCTAGTCTGTTTTAGTCTGGAAACTCCGTGGAAGCCTGTGGAGCATCATAATAGCTACACACTCCAAGTTTTTACTTCATCGATGGCTAATCACATCTCTGAAGTGCATTGATTGGGAATCGAACCCGGATCTCCAGCATGTTGTTGTTGTTAAGTGCCATTGTATAGAGTTTCCAAGGAGCGGCTGGTGAGTTTGAACTGTCTACCTTGTAAACCGACCTTGTGGTAGAGTGTTTATCCTACAGCACCTTACCAGCTAGTCTGTTCTGACTCATAGCGACCCTGTATAGGGCTTCCAAGAAGAGGCTGGTGGGTTTGAACCACTGGCGTCCATGGAAAGTGGAATTCTACCCATGTACCCCCACTGCCTCAGAGAGTCACTGGGCTAGTCTTTTATGTCTGTACTTCTTCTGACACCTCTTCCGCACACAGCTATCCCTGATCAGCATCAGCACCGACAGATCGAACAGATGGATTAGAGATTTCTGTCCCTCATGGGGTGTGTGTAGGTTGTACAAATGGCTGGAAGTTGAGTCCATACAGAGGCACCTCAGGATAAAGGCCTGGAGATTAACTTCCAAAAAGGTAGCCATTAAAAACACCGTAACAGCTATTCCACAGGAAAAAGATGAGGCTTTCTGCTCCTGTTAAGAAATACAGCCTCAAAAACAATTCCACAGCACGTTACCACCACCACCAAAACCCCTATGGATCACAGTTGTACTCTGACGTACATGGAGTTACCATGGCAACTGGGATTGCCCCTGGCCCCTCATGGACAGACCCTGGGGACTTAGCGAACTTTTCCTTGGGAAGCTGGAAGACTATTGACTAGGAACTGGTAGGCCAGCATGTTAATGGTGTCACCAGAGAGGAAGTTTGGCATCAGACAGTCCTGGGTGTGAATCCTGACTGCACCATGCAGTTTGGTGCTTTAGCCTCTGGGAGTCTGTGACAGGAGGCTGATTTCCCTTACGTTGTATGTTTATGTTACAGCTACCCCTTTAGAGTTATCCCTATTATTATGACTATGATCAAAATAGTCTTGGTGGCACTGTTGGGCTGCTACCTGTAAGGTCAGCGGCTCAAACCCACCAGCTGCTCACCAGGATGAAGATGAGGCTGTCTGCTCCTGTAAAGATTTACAGCCTTGGAATCCCTATATAGGATCACTATGAGTCAGAATCCACTCAATGCTAGTAGGTTGCTACCGAAACAACAAGGCCCCCAGGTGTCGAAAATGGGTTATGCTCCACTGCTACCATGGAGGATGGTGGTTCGAGCCCACCTGACAGCTGCACAGAAGAAAGGCCTAGCTGTTTGTTTTGGTTAAAAGTACAGCCATGTAGCAGTTCGTGCCAACATATGGGATCACCATGAGTCAGAATCGACAGCATCTAACAACAATCCAAACAGCACACCAGTTTCTTGACCCCAAATTAGGGTGCTCCGCCCTTAACTATCTGCCTCCATTCCCTCTGAAAACACACCTTTTCTTCTGAATCCACTGCTATTAAAAGGATCTCGACTCAGCAACTCCGTAGGACAGAGTAGAACTTCCCTATATGGTTTCTTAGTCTATTGATTGTTATGGAAGCAGACTGCTTCATCTTTCTTCTGCAGAGTCACTGTTAGGTTGGAGTCTCCCACCTTTTGGTTAGCCCAATGCTTAGCCCACTGTGCCACCAGGACCCCTTCAGTTTATCCAAAATGGTTTGATATGCTAATGATGCAGTAATGTCAGGGCTGGCCCCTATTTGAAGCTGTCATGCCTGTTGACAGGAAAACACCAGGGGCAGGTAGCTAGCATTTCTGTGTTAACATTGGCTGCCGGGCCAGTCACTCAATTACCCACAACCCTTCAACAGCTGCATTAGGAGGTGTGAGTGAGCCATGAAGAAATTGAGTCTCAGCGGGGCTATGCAACTTGCCCTGGACCTGTGCTCTGAAACCTCTGTTCAGCTCTACCTGCCAGGAGATGTGAAGGACAAAACAGTGCCTCCAGGATGTGTCCCAGACACCTACGAGGGGGCTTCTAAAAGTTTGTGGGGAAATGGAATTAAAAGATGATGAAATTTTCCCACTAACTTTTGGAAGCCCCCTTGCTGATGCAAAACCAGTTACCATCAAGTTGACGGATGCATAGGGACCCACCCCCATGTGTCAGAGTATAACTGTGCTCTGTAGAACACACACACACTTTCAAACCTTTATTGTACCACAGATGCATAGAAGGTAGAGCTTCAGGCCCTGCCAGCCTTGCCAGCCCTGCCCCTTGTCCAGCCTAGGGCTCGAGAAGTCTGAAGCCTTCACATGCGCACAGAGAGGAGATGGCCACCTGGGTGGACCAGCCCACCATCCCCTACCTGGCCCTTGTTCCCAGCCTGACCACACCTGGAGTCTTCAGGCCATTCAGTGGGGGTGGGCATGCCAGGAGTCAGGGACAAAATGACAGGGCCAAAGTCACAGGCCACTAATGGCTAGTGAAGCTCAGGAGGGAGGGCAGCATGCTATGGAATCAAATGTTCTTTGCAGCTCAGCTCATGTGTGATGCCTCACACATCTGTCCATCTGTCTGTCTTTGTCTCCAGTGGTACACACCCGACGCCTGCCTGCAGCTCAAGGAGCTCTTCCACGGGCAGGTCAGCTCAGCCTGTGAGCGGAGGGACACAGGGACCGTAGGGTAAGCACAGGGACTTGGGGACCATCGGATTGGCACTGAGATCCTCTGGTAGGCATGGGAGCATGGGGACTCAGGAACCGTTGGGTGGGCATGTGGACCCCCACATGAGTGCCATCATGGACAAGGAAATACCCAACACAAAGGAGACCATGTGCCCACCACAGGCCTGGTCAGGACAGGACACGCTCTGCTTCACCAGGCACAGCCCCTCCCTCTGAGAGGTTGGGTTGGGGCAGACACAGCCCATCTGAGAGGCAGGGTCTGGACGGATGCAGCCCCTCTCTCTAAGAGGTGGGGTCAGGACAGATTCAGCCCCTCCATCTGAGAGGTTGGGGTTAGGGTAGGCAAAGCCTCTCTGAGAGGTAGGGTTGGGGCGGATGCAGCCCCTCTAAGAGGTAGGGTCAGCAGGGATGTAGCCTGGCCCTTGCACATTCACAGGTTCCATCCTTGTACCTTGTAAGGTGCAAGGTTGTCTCACTGCCCACGGGCCGCGTCTACTGGTGTAGACTCCTCTGCAAGGGTTGGACACCTTTGTGGCTCTGTTACCATGGCCCACTGCCCAGCCTCTGCTGTCCCCCAGGTTTGATCTTTAGGACAGCAAGTTTGGCCAGGATTGAGTCAGGGCTCAGGCCCAGGGGCATCAGGCCCTCCTTCCTCTGCGCCGTGCCTGGGATGGGGTGGTCTCGCCCGGTACAGTGAATGGACGGGGCAGGACAAGCCAGTGAGGGTCTGAAAATAGCCCCAGTCCCCAAGCCCAGGAGCAAGCACCACAGCACGTTTCTTACAGGCTCAGACTCTCCAAGGTGGTGGTTGTGGGGGACCTCTATGTTGGGAAGACCAGCCTCATCCACAGGTATGTCCCCACGATGCCCTGACCACTGGGGTTGTCCAAAGGCTGCTGGGTAACCATCATAGTACCCAGGGGTCTGGTATCACCCTCCACCCTCTCCAGAAAACAGGTCTAGTCTGCCCCTCACTGCTCCTGAGCCGCAGCCTTGGCTTTCCGGGTTGTTCTCCACCGCCTTGACTGTGCCTTGTCAGTGGATGGTCAGGTGCCTCCCAGGTAGAGCATGCTTGTGAGGCTGCCTCTGGCATTGTCTATTCCCACAGGTTCTGTAAGAATGTCTTTGACCGTGACTACAAGGCCACCATCGGGGTAGACTTTGAGATTGAGCGCTTTGAGATCGCTGGGGTCCCCTACAGCCTCCAGATGTGAGTTGTGGTTGTATCTTCCGTGCAGCTCATGGGTGGGTTCAGAGCACCCCTGGGCAAGACCATGGTGGAGGAGCATGAAAGCAGGCTTCTCTGGCTAAGGGGGGATCCTCACAACCTAATACGCCCTCTCTTCTTGCCCCAAGGACTCCTTGTGTCCCAGGCTCTGGCCCCAGCCTCTCCCCATGAGTCTCTGCTCTGTGAATAGAAGAGATAGGGAGCAGGGAGCCAGTAGAGGGTGGCTGTCCACACTCCCTTCCTCTGGTTCTCGGCCTCCTCACCACTGCCCTCACTCCCACTTCCCCCTGCCTGCCTTCCCTCTGTCTATCTGTCTTCTTCCCAGACAGGAACTACTGCCTCACTACTGCCTCAGCTCTCAGTAGCCAAGCCCTCCAGCCCCTCCCCTCCCCTCTGTTTCCCTCAGAACCGCTCCTTTCTGCCCACCCCACTGCCATCAAGTCAATTCTGACTCACAGCAGCCCACTGGGACAGAGTAAAGGGTTTCCAAGGTTGTAAGTCTACAGAAGCAGACTGCCTCTGCCTTTCTCCTGAGGAGTGATTGGTGGGTTTAGCAGCCAAGCACATTAATTATTTATTTGTGCTACCAGGGATACCCCCAGATTCTCCAAATCAAAAACTCACTGCTGTTGAGTCGATTCTGACTCACAGTGACCCTCTAGAACAGTAGAACTGCTCTATCCGGTTTCCAAGGTTGTCAGTCTTTACAGAAACGGATGGTTTTATCTTCCTTCCCAGCAGTGGCTGGTGGGCTCAAGCCCCAGCTGCTCCCTTTTCCACCTCATGTGGCATCTTGGGGACTTCTTGTCCAGCTCAAGGCCCACATACTCTCCTCCTTGCCCCCAGCCCCACACACTGCTTTGCTCTCCTCATCCTCTCCCTCCCTGATGCCACACCCACCTCCTTGGCCCTCAGCTCTCTGGGGACAGTGTCCCTATCTCTGAGGACAACATCCTAAATCCTTGAGCCAGATGGTGGGATCAGGTGTTAACTGAGGGAGGGCCCAGGGTTACAGTTGAGCAGAAAAGGCATCAAGGATTCAGGTCTGGGGGCCAGGGCCCTGGAGCCAGAGGAGTGGAAGCGGTAGGGGGCTCCAGCTCAGGGGAGATGCACAGACATGTTTAAATAAAGTACTCAAAATGGTGGACTCTGGCCAAATGGTGGCTGAGACTCCCCTTGTCCCCTCCACCCAGGTCATCTTCAGAAATGAGCTGGTTATGAAAGAGCAGATGGGTCTCTGGAAAGATTCCAGTCAGTCTATGGCCTCCTTAGTGCTCAGCCTGAGTCTCCTGGTGCTGCTGTAACAGATACCTCAGGCAACAAGCAGGCGTGTGTTTTCTTGCCATTCAAGAGGCTGGCGTCCACATTCAGGGAAAGGCTTTCTCTGTCTGCTCTGGGGGAAAACTCTTGTCTCACCTTATCTCACATTCATCTTGGTGCCCCCTGGAGATCTCCATGTTGCTTCCATCTCTACCCCATTGCTTCTGTGCCTATTATCTGTTCCTTTTATATCTCGAAAATGATTCATTTAAAACAAATCCTATGCTGAAATTCATCTTTATTCCCAAACAGTATTGTATCCACACCTGTACTGTTGTTAAGTGCTGTAGATTCACTTCTGACTCATAGTGACCCCCTGCACAGTGGAACAAAACGCTGCCCCGTCCTGCGCCGTCCTCTCAGTCACTGCCATGTCTCAGCCCATTATGGCAGTCACTGTCAGTCCATTTTGCTGTCTTATTGATGACCCTCTGGAGTCCTGGTGTGGCCTTGTGAGATAAAGCATTGGACCACAAAGTCGATTTGAACTACAAGGTTGGTGGTTTAAAATCACCAGCCACTCCTTGGAAACCCTATGGGGGTTCTTTATGAATTGGAGCTGACTTGATGGCACTTAACAACAACTGCTTTACTTAATATGGTATCCTCCAGGGACGGATATTTTCTGGTGACATGTCCCAAGTACGTGAGATGAGGTCTCACCATCCTCACTTCTCAGGAGCATTCTGGTTGTACTTCTTCCAAGACAGATTTGTTCATTCTTCTGGCAGTCCATAATATATTTACTAATTTGAGAGGACACCATTCCATCTATAATACACAATTTGTCTGCTCTTCAGTTTTAGTTGCTGACATTTTGATGTTGGTTTTGAAATGGGTGGATTTTCAGACTCAGCCCCCAGATCTGGGTGCCTGCTCAATTCAAAACCAGGCAAGCAGATCTCAGCACACATGCCCCTTCCACCCATACCCGTGGCAGACATGACTAATGGATTGCTGCATCCTCTTCATGGAGCCAGTGTGCAACCTCTGAGCCCTTCTCCACGTGGCACTTAGAAAGCCAGCACTGACTGGTCAGAACTGGTCCTGTGATTATCCACTCTCAAAAATACATGCCCCCTGTCCCCGGCTGCAGAGTTAAAGGGGAAGGATATTCAGTCACATGTGAGCGATTAGCAAACCACACTGGAGGCCCAACTTAGAGCCCAGTAGTTCATGGGCCCATAGTGATGTCCCAGGACATCCTCTCTGAGCTGTGTGTACCCATGTTCATACGGTGGTGGTGGGTCCAGCAGAGACTCCTAAGGAGCTGGGAGTGCTGGCTCAAGGCTGGTACATCCTGGCACCCGAGAGAGGACACAGGCCCTCCCTAGTGCTGCCACGTGGCCTCCCTGCCCCAGTGGTTCAGACCACTGCTGTATATCTAACTGCTCCTGTCTGACCCTTTGTTCTCTCCACCTCACAGCTGGGACACAGCCGGGCAGGAGAAATTCAAGTGCATTGCATCCGCCTACTACCGGGGTGCCCAGGGTGAGTGGCAGGCAAGGGGAACCTCAGCTGCTTGAGCAGGGCTACCTGCTGAGGCCTTGGTGGGCGGGCAGGGCAGGGAGAAGGGTGCAGAGGGTGCTTTCCAGCAGCCACAGCCTGAGGGTCCCTTGGAAAGGTGTGCACTCTAAGTCCTCAGCTCAAGGTGACAGACCTGTTTGTGATGAGGACCCCAACCAGGGAAAACCGAGTCTGCTCCAGGAAGGGGGAAGGGAGGCTTGTCCTGTCAGCTAGAAACCCCTGCACAGGCCAGAGGGGAGGTGAGAGGTGGGCCAGCTGGGGATGATATGCGCAATCAGGGTACCAGGAAAGAAGGCAGGAATGGAGTTCTGGGGGAGATATGAGGGAAACTAGTCTGAAATCATGAGGCATAGTGTGCCAACCAGCTGTCGTTGCTGTTGTTGTTAGGTGCCTCCAAGTTGGTTCTGACTCATAGCGATTATGCACAACATAACAAAACACTGCCAGATCCACCACCAGCCTTACGATTACTGTGTTTGAACCCGTTGTTGCTTCCACTGTATTATTCTCTCTTCATTGAAGGTCTTCCTCCTTTTCTCTAACCCTCTACTCGATTCAACATGATGTCCTTCCCTAGGGACTGGTCATTCTGACATCATGTCCAAAGTACAAGAGACAGTGTCTTGCTTCTAAGGAGCAATCTGGCAGTACTTCTTCCAAAATAGATTTGTTCATTTTCTAGCATTCCAGGGTACATTCAGTATTCTTTGCCAACACTGTTATTTAAATTCATCAATTCTTCTTTAGTCTTCCATCTTCATTGTCCAACTTTCACGTACATATGAGGCGATTGAAAAGATCATGACTTAATTTTCAAAGTGAATGCTTTAAAGGTCTTTTGCAGCAGATTTGCGTAATGTACTATGTCATTTTATTTCTTGGCTGCTGCTTCCAGGAGCATTGATTGTGGATCCAAGTAAAATGAAATCCTTGACAACTTTAATCTTTTCTCCTCCAGTTGTAGGAATTCTTCTTTTCTTTGGTGGAGGCACCATCCACACTGTGGTGTTAGCAGCAGTGTGGAAATCATGCCTGTTAGGAAGATAAAAGGATCCCTAGTGGTGCTTGAGGACTAAGGTGCGCCTGACCCAAGCCATAGTATTTTCAATAACCTCATATGCATGTGAAAACTGGACAGTGAATAAGGAAGACCATAGAAGAATTGATGCTTTTGAGTTATGGTGT